TATTACTACTACTACTATTATTGTAGTAGCAGTACTGTTTAATCATCCACCATTTAATAGATGGTTATGATATAGCACGAGTGAAAAGAAAGTATAATTGTTATTATAACATTTAGTATAACCTTGTTATATGAGGGGATTCTTGTATATAGCAATAATATGACTCAATCTTAACTATATTAATAAAAGAGTAGAAGATATAAATTTCGCAGTCACACTTGGTTGAGACTGAGCCTCATATGACATGTGATGTCTATTAACCTCTTTATTGATATCGTGAATCTAAAATATTTTTTTTTAAAATATCATGTCAAACAACTGTGAGAATGCATCAAAACTCCAAAGTTGTGATGATGGTTGAATGATATATTTATTTTAACTTGCCATGTAGGTTGACGGATCATTTTGTTGGAAATTTATCAAATAAATAAAGATTATAGCATGAATTTAAAACCGAAAAAATAAACAATTAAAACTGGCCTGATCGGGAGCAGTCGTGTATTCACTGCCCTAGAAGATTGAGAACCCGCCTATCGCCCTGGCGCAGATGGTTCCCTCCCCCCTAGCGGTAAAAACCCCCGGAAACGGCCGGCCTCTACACTCGGGCGAGAGTGCAGAGCTTCAACTCAGATGAAGGAAGTTGCCCATAAAATAAAACTAAGATATAATGAAAATAATATATGTAGGGGAAAAAAGAAAACAAGATAAGTTTTCCACATTTTTCTTCCTTTTTCTTGAGCTCAACATATGTTGTTTATATAGGGGTTGAAAAGAGCCGTTACAAAATCCCTCAATAAATTTCGTAACGTTCATCATAATGTATAGTCATTATGCCCATTTTAATTACAAATTAAAACACATTAAAACATATTTTAATTGCATATTTTAATTACAAAAAATTTATTAGAATTTATTAAGGCAAAATTGCCTTTTCTTTAAAAATATCCAACAGTCCCCCCCAAAAGGCAATATTGACTGAAAAAATAAATTAATAAATCACAAAATGAAAATAGGTTGGGCAACCTATCGTATCGTGAATTCGGGAAAGGTAGCTTTCGGCTTTGAATCTTTCCTTAGTGAGTTCATCGCCGCCTGAGGGACATAATGGACTAAGCCTTGAATTAGGCCCCTTGAATCAGGTATTGATAAAAACACACACAATACGCTTCATCTATTGAGCAAAGCGGGTTGAGCGTTAAAGGCCATGCTCACAAAAAACCGACTCATGAGAGTTTCTAGGGGTTAGCCCAGCCCCCCCTAACCGCGGCCATCACGGTTCCTCTCACGTAGGTAAGTCCTCAAAGGGTACTACAGCTGTTTATTTAATACCCCCCACAATACACGCGTTGGATTTATTAATAGTAAAACTCAGCCTAGCCAGCTGTATCATAAGAGCATCGTCATCATAGAGAAGGGGTAGTAGCAAATGCTACATAATGATATATAAATATATCTAGGTCGATGCTCCACACGAGTGTCACTAGTCCAGCTTGTTTCTACCACATTGAACCGACATTGGGACTACGTCTCCAAATAAGGGTTGGGTTGCCGCTGTCAGTGACCTCATCTATGGGCTTAACCTCATCTCCCTCGATGAATCCAGAACCACACTCCTGGATAATCCCTTAGTCAAAGGGTCATCAAGATTCTTTTCACAGACTTTACAAAGTCTAGAATCATAACTTTGCCTAGCAGGCGTTGTATTTATTTATCAAGTTCTTATTTTGTAATTAGTCCATCATATTGTTTGAATTTGACATTAGGTCATGATCTATGATCATAAAAGATCATAGTCTATGTCTGAAGAGATTGACCTTAATATCTGAACATTTCAAACTAATGTGGAACTAAAAATTCTGCAGTTATGCATATGCACATACATGAATGAAATTAATAATAGATAAATGCAGAGCATAATAGGATTTCGTATCTTAAAAAATATTTTTCGTAGCTTAAAATATATTTCATACTTCATAATTCAAATGCATAAAATTTTTAAATTATTCTATTATAAGAGGTTACAAATTGGTTGCCTACAAAGGAGATCATCCAAATTTAAATCGGTTGCCTACAAATGAGACCTTCCAAATTTAAATTGGTTGTCTACAAAGGAGACCTTCCAAATTTATGTTGCCATTTTCTAGTACCACCTCTTATATAGATAATAATAATAATAATAATAATAATTGTACATACGTGCTTTAAATTTTTCAAGTGCATTCTTGCATAAAACATTATAATTAATCATGTAACAAATGCAAGTTATCTAAAAGGACATATAAACATTTATTGCAATATCCATCATAACGCAATAAAAGAGATGAACTTTACATTTGAAGATTTGAACAATATCCATCATAATGCAATAAAAAGAGATGAACTTTACATATGAAGATTTGAACAATATCCATCATAATGCAATAAAAAGAGATGAACTTTACATATGAAGATTTGAACAATATCCATCATAATGCAATAAAAAGAGATGAACTTTACATATGAAGATTTGAACAATATCCATCATAATGCAATAAAAAGAGATGAACTTTACATATGAAGATTTGAACAATATCCATCATAATGCAATAAAAAGAGATGAACTTTACATATGAAGATTTGAACAATATCCATCATAATGCAATAAAAAGAGATGAACTTTACATATGAAGATTTGAACAATATCCATCATAATGCAATAAAAAGAGATGAACTTTACATATGAAGATTTGAACAATATCCATCATAATGCAATAAAAAGAGATGAACTTTACATATGAAGATTTGAACAATATCCATCATAATGCAATAAAAAGAGATGAACTTTACATATGAAGATTTGAACAATATCCATCATAATGCAATAAAAAGAGATGAACTTTACATATGAAGATTTGAACAATATCCATCATAATGCAATAAAAAGAGATGAACTTTACATATGAAGATTTGAACAATATCCATCATAATGCAATAAAAAGAGATGAACTTTACATATGAAGATTTGAACAATATCCATCATAATGCAATAAAAAGAGATGAACTTTACATATGAAGATTTGAACAATAAATAACCAAAACTGTTTACATGAACAGTAACTTTTTAAAACAAAATGAACAGTGCCGTTTTCAAAATAAATGAACAGTAACATCATTTTTAAAATTAAACAGTAACGTCATTTTTTAAGAATGAACAGTAAACTTTTTTTAAAACATTAAAAACTGTTAAAAATGAACAGTAATGTTTTTTTTAAATAAAATTAAAATCTGTTTTTTTAATGAACAGTAAATTATTTTATAATGAGCAACAATTCTGATTAAATTGCGAATAGTAATAGCAAAATTTTTTTTATAATTCGGATGAACAGTACTATCTCAAATGAACAGTAACTTTAAAAATTATTTTTCCGGATTTAAATCAAAAGCTATAAACATATCAATCTTCTAGATTGTTGGAAATTTATCAAATAAATAAAGATTATAGCATGAATTTAAAACCGAAAAAAATAAACAATTAACATCAAAGATAGATAATATAAATTAGAGAAACAGGCCTGACGGGAGCAGTCGTGTAAACACTGCCCTAGAAGATTGAGGACCCGCCTATCGCCCTGGCGCAGATGATCCCTTCTCCCCTAGCGGTAAAAACCCCCGGAAACGGCCCGGCCTCTGCACTCGGGCGAGAGTGCAGAGCTTCAGCTCAGATGAAGAAGTTGCCCATAAAGTAAAACTAAAGTATAGATGAAAATGATATGTAGAGGAGAAAAGAAAACAAGATAAGTTTTTCACATTTTTCCATATGTTTCTTGAGCTCAACATATGTTGTTTATATAGGGGTTGAAAAGAGCCGTTACAAAATCCCTCAATAAATTTCGTAACGTTCATCATAATGTATAGTCATTATGCCCATTTTAATTACAAATTAAAACACATTAAAACATATTTTAATTGCATATTTTAATTACAAAAAATTTATTAGAATTTATTAAGGCAAAATTGCCTTTTCTTTAAAAATATCCAACACCTTTATGGATCGAAAGCTAGCTCACAGTGCGCTATCTTTTTTAAATAAAAAAAATAATATTTTTTAAATAAAAAAAATAATATTTTTTAAATAAAAAAATAATTTAAAAATTTATACCCAGCTAGATTCGAGCCTAGATTGATTTGAACCATCTTAAAGTCCACTATATCAAACTCTAAACTCTAAAGTTCTAGTGAAGATTAATAACAACTTTATATTCTACAATGTCTTCGCAGACTGAGGACTTTTTTATGTACTGAAAATTAAGGTAGACTCACAAAGCCATATCCTTTTTAATCTAGTTTAGAAATTTTTGAACCTAAGATGCTCCATGTTAAATTAAGTCTGTTACTACCCAAAAATCCGAGGCTATTGTATGGTTTAATTAAGGGTTAAAACTTTATATTCTAACAAATAGTGCTTGTTGGAATCATCCAGATATTGTCAAATTGTTATGTTTGTTAAAACAAAGTGGAATTTGTATGCTTTGTGAAACTACGGTGAGAATTCAAATCTAAAAGAAAAACTCTATGGTACCGTTTGACAAAGGGTTAAGTGAGGGGTTAAGGAGACTTAACCCCTTTTTAACCTGCCAAACACAACAAATCTATATAAGGGTTAAAGTAAGTTAACCCTCCATAATTTGCCAAACATAAAAAATATAGACGGGTTAAGTTAACACCTCTAGAGGGGTTAAAATGAGTTAAACCCTCAAAATGAGGGGTTTACTAATACTCCTATTTAGATGGAATAAGAGTTAACCCTTCTAATTATAAAGAAAATAGTCAAAATCATTGTTATTCCTAAACACTAAAACTGATCATAAGGGCTAAAATAAAACTTATTTAACGGGTTAATAATTTAGTCATTCGGATTATCAAATAGGCTAAGTACATTAATCATTCTCTTTAACCCCTCTTCATTAACCCTTTGCCAAACGGGGCCTATATGTCGAAGGAAGAACCATCGTTCGTTTACATCTAATCATCAGTACTTTTACCATTTGTGGAAACATAAACTTTGAGAAGACAATCATTAGTACAGTAGTAACAAGTGCAAAGGGTGATAGTGGATGAAATAATTAGATACTAGCTAGTTAGTCAAAAACACGCATGAGAATCCTATATATCTCATTATATCCCCTCGTAGTTTACTCATCTTAGGCCATGATTACTCTCCTTTCGGCCACCACTAACAGCTTCATGCATTGATATACGATCACCCTTTGCTCATTGAAAATCTCTTAAATTCAACCTAACAAAAAGGACTCTAGAGTTGTGATAATTGAGAAGGATCTCATATTGGATTGCGTTGCTATCACGAGGACTATAGATTCGAAACAACAATCTCTAGAGCATATATAGCTCAATCTAGGCTCACAATGAGTTTCAATCTTGCATCGACTCTCCTACTTAGTCTGATTTGATGATTGTGTCCGTCCCCCTTCCTTCATAGCCCCAAGAGTATATAGTAGAGAAGTGTCATGGGCAAAGATACAAGCATGCCAAAGATAACCCTACAAGGCAAAAACACAGCTTTATGATTCAAGTAATTAGTTTATTGAAGGGAAGAAATTTGTTTAATTTTTGCACGCTATGATTGGGAAAACTTGAATTCATTGTATAAATGTTTAATGAGGATGTACCCGGTACTCAGTATGTCAGGATGCAATCCATATTCTCTTGCAAACACAAAAGGTACTATTCCCTGAGGGAGAGCTGCCTGAAAAAAATTTGAAAGCCAAAAAGGTTGACAAAGGTCTTAGTGCGCTCTTCTAGAGTGAGTTAGTAATCTAAAATTACTATATATATGTATACATATATGTATACATATATGTATACATATATGTATATGTATGAGTGTATCTGTATAACCTGAACGATTGCAGTATGCAACCGTGCTCCTTTCAATCCAACAGCCATTGATGTCATTGACATTATCATAGGCCCAGCAATAAAACGGATCAACATACTTAGAATTGTCATCTTAGTCCCACAAGCGATGATTCTCGGTTGAAGCGCCATGAATAAACCTTAAATTTAAAATTTAAGGCCAATTAACTCAAAAGATATTAAACTGACTATCTTAACCAAGACTAATATGGAACAATATTAGGCATTTTACGTACCTAGACTGAACATGGCCATTCCAAGTCCTGCATCTGAAATTATCTTTATCGAATTACTTACCAAACTTGGCATATCAATTCCCCACCTAAACAAATCATGAAAAATCACAATAATGAAAGAAACGCATATTTTTATTTTTTGAATATCTTAATTTCCTCACGTTTTAGGACTCACTGGAAGGAGATCAAGGACCAAAGGAGGCCTAAAACACTTGAATAAGTGTTAGGGTTGCGAGAAAGTTTTCGGCCAACCATGGTCAATATTAGCCTTAGCATAACAAAAGCTCCGGGCATCTTTGGGTTCTGTTTGTCATCATCATTTAGTACGAACTTGGATGTGCTTCTGAAACTTAGGTCGACCATATTCTCTCCTGCGACAATATAAGACGGTCTCACAATTAATCTGCCAAAAATTTCTTTTCTTTTTTATTTTTTTATGTAACCAAGATTGAAAGCAATTAAATTAACCTGAAGTCTCCAAATATTAATATATTTCATTTACTAGTAATCACTAATCGATATACGAAACTCATCAGTACAGTTTTAGGTTGCAATTTGATATATAACAGCGATCGCTCAGTTGGTTAGAACTTAGAAGGCATATATACTACAAGGAATGTAAAATAAAGAAAAAAGTTCGAAGAACGAAAAAGAAAAAGCAATTTCTTCTACATAGGGGTTAAAAATGGTGGTAATTTCATTTTCATGCTTATATAGCAAATTAAGGAGAAAGAGATGACTCTTTTTTTAACCTTGGTCAATGGTGGCAGCTTTACTAATTAATAGAGGGAACCTCTTTCGAGCAAGCAAGGAGACATCGCACGTCTTCGTGACCTCTCCTTTCTTGTGAGCTTGCTCCATACCGAGACAACAGCGACACCTCAGTGCAAAATTAGGTGCAACAATTTGTACCCCACTCAAATCTCCTCGACGGCACAAAAGACACAGATAACATCCCTCCATGTGCACCAATAAAATAAAATTCAGACTCTCAAGCACACACGCGCACAAGCAACGAAACAAGTTGACTCAGATGAATCAGGAAACAAGCCCCAACCAACCAACATAGCTCACAGAGCTTACTGCTCAAACTTTGTACCGTTACTCCTCCTCAGGAGTTCGTGTTTTCTAGATGTCGCTTCCTATAGTAGAGAAGATACTTCCCTAATTAAATTAATTAGAGGACCAAGACTGAATCTAAAACTCTAATTTTTGTAACTTATGTCAGTTTTATTATAAAGAAAAAATAGTCAAAATCATTGTTATTCTCAAACACTAAAACTGATCACAAGAGCTAAAATAAAACTTATTTAACGGGTTAATAATTTAGTCCTTCAGATTATCGAATGAGCTAAGTACATTAATTCTTCTCGTTAGCCCCTCTTCCTTAACCATTTGCCAAACGGGGTCTTAGAGAGTAAAATTATTGCCCCTGGAGGTTTTGTACGGACCCAAACAACACTTGGATATAATAGAGGGTACGTGTCAAATTAAATTCTCCTCAATTTTACATCTTCTATGCTCCACTTAAACTCGTCATGAATACTATCCCTCTTATTTTTGTTTCGGAACAGGTTGTGAATGTGTACTATTTAACAATGGACGGTTTACAGTTTAACCCGTTGCTGCGGCGGATAACCCTCCCCGGTTCATATTTCTCAATCGGTAAAGACAAAGAAGCAAAGAAGCAACATAGCACACTAGTAGTGTACTTACCTCCAACATCTTTGCCCCCCTGTCCCTCGGTAACCACCTCCGGCGACTTACCCCACACCGGAGTCCCCAGCTCCATCCCTTCAAAGTTTGACGCCCTTGTCGGCGTCGGCTGAAGCGAGTACGCATCTGACGTCGATGCGTATGGCGTGTTGACGGAGTATATCTCAGCCCCAGATACGTTTGACAGGCGCGCGGGTGACGTCCCGTCGGATGGATGTAACCCTCCGATCATCATGAGACGTCGGCGACGACATCAGCCTGTACCGGACGCGTATTGGCCTTCGATGGACTGGGAATTACTGGCGGTGCCGAGGCAGCATCCGCTTATGTCAACGATGTAGATCCCTCCTCCTCCACTCACACGCCTCCGCAGCGGCGGTCTCCGGGGGTCTAAACGGTCAATTCGGAGATATCAGCGTGCGGCGCCTCGCCGGAAGCGTGTGTGTATCGAGTGGTAAGTTGTGTTCCGGAAAAAAAATTGTTAGGCGGCTGGATCACCTCGAACAGACAGGACAAAAGCTAGTATTTGGTGGGTGTTGGGTGTTGGGTCATGACCTTACACACATTTCCATCTTTTGCGACCTGATTATAATTAACATGCATGTATAATGACTTCGCCAAGACTCAAAAGTCAGAACATATTTATAAATTTAGTTCAGATCGGGTTCGGCTCGGTTACCATATGATACACTGAAACACTACTACTTGGACCATGAGGTTCTGCGTAAAGCTGCCGTACATGGCTCGTAGCAAAGGGATGCCCATGACTAGGGTGTTGGGCAACGTGGCGACCGAGAATAGGGTGATGAGCCAATCGATGCGGCGGCCGGAGGGCGAGGACGAGGAGTTTGGAGAGGGTGTCGGCGAGGAGGAAGCGGAGGTCCATGGTGTACGGGTTGTTGAGGGAGATGAAGTGGAAGGAGAGGACAGGGACGGCGAAGGTGGCGACGAAGCGGTTGATGCCGGAGCATTGGTCCGGGGTGAACACGTGCCACCGGCGGACGGCAGCGTAGGCGAGGAGCATTGCGGAGTAGAGAGGGGCCATCGCGCACATCACGGCGTAGAAGTCCTCCGGTGTTATCATTCTTTATTTTGCGCTTGAAGCCTGTGGATGTTTAGAGAACTAATGTGAAGGGGAGTGGAGAGGGAGAGGGTATTGTGGATGGTGAGGTTTATATACACGGGTGAGAGAATGGGGAGCTTAAACGTTTTAAGCAACGTCATCAAATTGGGGGTAATCGATAATATAGCGCAAGTCTTCCGAAGTCATGCAAATAAAAGTCAATCTTCTTAAAATTGTTATTTATTTATTTTGTTAGATCTTAAAATTATAATCTCAACAGTACTCATCATCGCAACTTTAGAGTTTTGATGAATAGAATGATCATGTAATATAGTATCAGAGCAATACAAGTTTAGAAGGATCCGCGTACCGTTATGTGAGTCCAGATTTAGTGCTTTCGGCCTCTAAAAAGGACTCATAAGAGGAGGGTCATGCTTGAGGTTAAAATTATAGCTTTCCATCGTGATCACAACATTGAAGACTTTCGCACTTGGATGTGATTAACCTGATTAGATTCATATTTATGCATAACTATTCCCATATAAACATAATTGGGTAAAGATCGTTGCATACCCTGGCATCTCTTCGCAAAAGCGAAGCCGACAAATGAAGAGGCAGTAGCGTGTCTGTGACTTTGGGTGCCATTTCTGAGCTAAAGGCCGTATGTATGTTTAAGTAAAGACTAAAAAGCCAAAGGAATTTATTCCCTCCTTTTTCTTGTTTCCTTATTAGCTAGCTTTACAATTACAATTACAATTACAGGGTTTGAAGCACCAAGGTCGAGGCTGCTTCATCACGGAAACCTAGAGAGAACAAACTAGCTGCAAGTCTTGTCTTGCATTTAATTTAATTTATTTTCTTTTCCCCTCATTTTTCAAGAAAATAAAAGAATATGAATCTTATCAGAATTGTTAATAAATGTACAGTGGTTCAAAATTCATCATCTATAAGAAACATTACGATTATAATCATCTTTCTCTTCTCTAACAATTGTGCAATCTCAATTTTCTAAATGAATTTGTGACTAATTCTCGCAAATGAAATGATTCTTGAAGGATTCGTATTGAAAAAAAAATGCTTATTATGTTGCGAATATAAGCGTACTAGATAACTCGATCCGATTCTAGGGCTATAATTCGTTTCAGGTCAAGGATTATAATATCTGTCATTGAAGTAGTTCCCACATTGATATTAGCTATAAAAGAATGAGAATATTGCTTCTAGCCCCAAAATCATTACAAGTATCCCCTCCGGACTTTTTCAACGATCCCAAAGCCCCCACAACAGTATCCAATATTTATTTAGCCCCTAAAACCCTTCCCCACGTTACCCGATGCTTAAAAACAAAAATCTTTCCCCAAAATGCCCTCATGCAACTGGTCACTCCATCAAGCCGGTTATTAGAGAGTGAACAGTAGCATTGCAGGCATTAAATGGTGATTAGAAAGTGATTTTGGAGGGAAAACCCCCATTTCCCTCCAAATTCTAATGATTTCCTTCCCCCTGCAGTAAATCCATCTCCTCCTCCCCATTTGCTTACCACAACTACTCTCTCCTGGCCACTTAATTCTCCTCAATAAATCCTTTTTTATACTTCAACTACTTTTTGTTTGGGGAGAAAGTTGATGTCTACATTGATGTATTCATTACAACTTCAGTCGTTATAATAAAAACGAAAAAATAGTCTTTTTATAAGACTCTTACACAATAAAAAAAAAAAAAATACAACCCTCGTCAAAACAAACGCAACGGATGTTTATCCTCCGCTGCTTGGGTGGGGTCTTTGCCTGTGACGGGGACGTCGATATCCGTGGACCACCAAACGGCCAGATCAGATCCGGAGCTTCGTTGATTCGCGAAGGAATCAAGAAAACGAAGCAATTATCTCTGCAATAGCGAGATAATCACTCTTCTCGAGATTACCACAACAGGTTAATCTCAAGGGAAGGAACCGGACTGCAGATCTGTCGAACTCTCCTTCTTTACGCCTGAAGAACTCGATATGATCTCCTCCTCCTCTTTGAAATTCGTGGCTCTTAAGTCCTCAATTTTGCAGGGCTTCGCCGACGCTCGAGAAATCCAGATCTGAAAAAATGAAGGCCCTGTAGCTGTATTTATAGGCTTCGGGAGCTCTGTTTTCGAATAAGAACAGTTGATTCACTCTTATCCTTAGTTGTAACCACTTAACCATGTTCTTAGATGATATTTTATCAGTTAGAACAAATCCAGACGGTTAACGACGAAAAACAGCTTAAAACTGCCAAAAATCGGTTTTCGGGGCTGCGAACACCCGTGGGTGTCTCGGCCTGGCCGAGACACCAGTGGGTGTCTCGGATATTTTAGCCCTAACTTCCTCATATGACCTTTAAATAATATGATTCAAGATGTATTGGAAAGATGACGAAGATATCTACAACTATTTTCTTTTGATCTTTTTCATATTCAAATCAAATCATGGCTAAAATCTCCATTCTTCTCTGAGACACCAACACTATCTTGGAATTCTGAGGTAGTTGGTATTTTGGCTTTATCTCTCTCATACGATCTCATAATAAGTTGATACAAGATGATTTAGAAAACTTACAAGGATCTCTACAACTTTCTTCCTTTGAGCTTCTTCAGATTCAAAGCGAATCATAGTCAAAACAGCTTTACAATGTCCAAGACACCTATACGTGTCTCGCTAAGGCTTGGAGCATTGTTCCGCGCGTCCGTCAGTTTCCATCGTATTTTCGTCATCCGAACTAGAAATTGCACGATTCAATATACGTTGAAAAGCCGATGAGGAGATCTACAAGCTTCCATAATTGAATAATATGTGGAGTAAATGGGACATGATGGACGCTTCGTCTTTCGTAAACGACGCGTAACTCCCGATCCATTCGTGTTTTCGTTATTCCGAAGTTCCATCGCTTTGTATGGTTCGTTGACTCACTTAATGTGCTTGTCATCATAAAATGTGCTTCTGTGATTCGAATAGTGACGTTCATTACCATTTCTCTATCTTAAGTCACGTGCGGGGAACCTATAGGCATTATTAGACGCCTACAGATACCCCCTCCAAAGCATTGACCTAGGGTTATGCGTCGATCGTCGTTGATACAGTTTATACTCATACATTTGCTGGAGTATACACAGTTTAAGCTCTTAAGGTATTGGAGCATGACGGTCCTAAATATCGTGCTACAGGACCAACTATTAAAGTTGTTTCGTCTGTAGGTATGGATCTTATCCTGAAGTTTGTTGGATGCTCAAGTCATGAGACCAACTAATGAAGCTGGTGCGTCAATAACTCTTGCCTTTATAGGATTTTTGGCAAACACTCAGCCATCAACGGGTTTGACGAGCCTTTACCGACTAACGCTTGAGTCGGGCTAGCATGCTAATTATTTAAGTCTGTTCCGCATGTAACGTTGTGCTAAAAGAGTTAACTCTTTTAGTGCTACGATATTGAATACGTAGACTTTATCTTTCTCACAGGAATAGACTACCCGGCCGCATGTATCAGATGCAGACTCAGGATTTTTAGCAAATCCTCAGCCATTAACAGATTTGACGTGCCTTTGCTGATTACCGTTTGAATCGGGCTTGCATGCGGATTGTTTAAGTCCGTTCCGCATGTGACGTTGTGCTAAAAGAGTTAACTTTTTTTGTGCTACGATATTGAATACGCGTATTTCTCACGGGAATAGACTACCCGGCCGCATGTATCAGATGCAGACTTAGGATTTTTTGGCAAATCCTCAGCCATCAACGGATTTGACGTGCCTTTACCGATTACCGTTTGAATCATGCTTGCATGCGGATTGTTTAAGTCCGTTCATCATGTGATGTTGTGCTAAAAGAGTTAATTCTTTTAGTTCTATGATATTGAATACGTAGACTTCATCTTTCTCACAGGAATAGAAAATGAAAAAGATTTAAAAGTTGTTAAAACTAGAAGTGATCATGGTGGTGAATTTCAAAATAATTTTTTAATGATTTTTATGCACATCATGGTATAACTCATGTATTTTCCGCCCCAACAACACCACAACAAAATGGTGTTGTTGAACGGAAAAATCGTACCATACAAGAGATGGCACGTACTATGTTAAATACTTTTGATTTGCCTAAATATTTTTGGGAGAAAGCCGTTAATACGGCTTGCCATATTTTAAATCGTGTCTTAATTAGACCCAAGCTCAAGAAAACTCCTTATGAACTCTTTTATAACAAACACTACAAGAAATTACATCTTTAACGAAGGGATTTCCCTTCGTTAAAGAGCTAAAAACCGTCGTTATTGTATGCTAACGACGGGGAAAAATCCCTTCGCCACCCGTCGTTGAAGCCCTCTTCGCTAAAGGGTCACGAAGGGATATACTACCCATCGTTATAGAGTCTATAACGACGAAACATATTACAGTCATTAATATTTAAGACGATAATTATCACCGTCGTTACCATCAATGATGGGGATATTTTCCCGTCTTTATCATTAGTGATGGGATATTTTCCCGTCGTTACCATTAGTTACGGGGATATTTTTCCGTCGTTACCATTAGTTACGGGAATATTTTCCCATCGTTGAAGACCAATTAATGACGATTGAATACCGTCGTAAAAGTCCTCATTGTGGGTAATTAGTAATCCATCAACGATGATGCTTTCCCTTCGTTGATGAACAAAATACGGTTTATAAAACCGTTACTATAAACTACAAATTTCTAATATACATTAATGATATTTGGAGATTGATAGGCAACTATCATATTATTCTCAACATGACACTAAGATTCACAACACAAATATATTAAAAATACCCAATAATGAATAAAAGAGAAACAAAAAACTCCATTCATTAATAACTTCAATAAATAAAATTTCACCATATTCAAATATTCAATACTAATAATAAGAGTTAATATAACAATTGTTCTAAAAAATACATGAAACTATCTAAAGCAAATTAAAATAAAAGTCTGGAAAAGACACATCCTTTCATTTCTAATCATTGTCAAAGAGAAGACTCGAGCTACCCCTGTCCTAATCTTGGATAACCTGAAAAAATAAAAAAAAAACC